CAGCACGCTCCAGTACCAAGGTGAGTCCCTGTGCTTCGGCAGCGGGCATGCTGGGGCACCTGTGGCGCTGGCCGTGGCGGTGCTCACTCCTCCCTGTCCTCCTCTAGAGCTGATGCCACCGGGGAGCTGCCTGCCTGAGGAGACCAAGCCCAAGAGGGGACGCCGGTCATGGCCTAGGAAAAGGACAGCCACACACACTTGTGACTATGCAGGCTGTGGCAAAACTTACACCAAGAGCTCACATCTCAAGGCGCATCTGAGAACCCACACAGGTTAGTCCCAGTGTGGGGGTCAGTGGGGTGCCCTGGCCTGAGGGGCAATGGATTGAGCCCCTCAGACAGTGAAGAGGTGGGAGCACGGGAAGAGGGATCAAAGTAGCAGCCCTTCTCGTTGGGTTTTGGGGCTTTTTTTCCTTCCCTCTTGGCTACATAAAGTCTTACGCAGTCTTTGCTTATTGGCTTGGCATTTTGCTTAATGGTTCCAAATGACTCAGATGTGGGAGCGGGTGGGTTTCTTGCCAAGGCAAGACAAAGTTTGTTGCTCCTTTCTTGCTATGTGGCTAGCTAATTAGCAGGTAGTTGGAAGTCACCTGGGGTTTGTTGCTCTAGATGGTGTTGGCCCACCCACTTTCTTTGCTCATTGTTAAGTGCTTCGCACATGCACCCCTTTTGGCTTGGCTCACATTAGTGCAAGAGATAGTGCACCTCTGCAAGCTGCTGTTGCCTTTCTAAGGAAAGTGTGATCGGCGTCTCGCAAGTGGGGCTTTCAGCTATGTCGGCAGCACCGACAGGGTGCCTCGCCTACACGAGAACACATCTCCTGCACTGGTACCAAAGAGGCAGAGTTTACCAGTTGATTGACTACTGCTAGAGTTCGGATAAAATCTGCCAAAGTGTGTTCCTGAGCCTGAGTTCAAACTTTAACCTTGCAGCTGAATATGGTGTTGCAGTAACTGAGCTTGTGAAAGCAGGTATATTGTGCGCAGTTTCACCAGTGCGGCCATTCTGTAACAGTGATTAAGTAACCTGAGAATTTGCATATTTGAAATCCCTGCATTCTGAACTTGACTCAAAACTTTCCTTTGAAGAGGAGATAGGAAAGGAAGAAACTACTGGTAGTAGTGCAGTAGTTGGCCTACGTCTTCAGCTAACGGCAGTGGAGCAGGGGGGAAATCAGACAAGTGAACAGTACTTTAGTTCTGCCCCAAGCCGGTCAGCACTGTCTCCAGTATGTGTATGACTGGGAGTTTGTAATAGTCGGGGAAACTTGTCTGGCTGTCAACAGTGGTTTTGTTATAGTGAAGGCAGTAAGATTGAGTTCTTAATGGAGCTGAGCTAATGAAAAGAGTTTCCAGCTGTTTTTTAAATTCTTGAGACCTACAATTATCTAAATACATTGTATCTTCTGAGCTATTTCTGGTTACTATTTGATTGTATAACATTAGCCAGCAAAAATACACTATACTATCTGAACTTGTGTGCTCTGAAGCCTTGTGTGCAAGACAAACAGTGGAAATGAGTATTTTAGCGAAGATTTCAGTGATGCCAGTATTTTATGGTACCTGTGCATCTTGAAAACACAGTCTTAACTCTGTTATTCTTTGTTTGCAACTGCTTCAAAAAGTTCATTGCGTTTCCTTTGACATCACCCTTTTTCTTATCCAGGACAAAATGTGTTAGTGTTTCTTGAAAGAAAGTTAGAAGAAAAGCGAACTCATGTGTTTTGTTTTCTATTTTTTTAAAGGTGAGAAGCCTTATCACTGTGACTGGGAAGGCTGTGGATGGAAGTTTGCCCGATCTGATGAACTTACTCGTCACTACAGAAAACACACAGGCCACCGCCCTTTCCAGTGCCAGCGGTGTGACAGAGCATTTTCCAGGTCGGACCACCTCGCCTTACACATGAAGAGGCACTTTTAGTTGGAAGCAGTGGTTCTTTCCGTAACTGCCGTAGAGATTCAGTATTTACAGCGCAAGGACTGTCTTCCGTGAGATGGGGAGAACACAGTTTAAGCACTACAGATAATCAAGGTGAAGTCCTCCAAAGAGTGGAAAAGAGGGATAATTGCATACAGACATTGCAACTTTTTTTACACATATATATACCCTTAAAATAAGAGAACCAAAAACATTGGGGTCAATGACTGGATCTTCTATCATTCCATTTGTAATTCCAACTTGAATTATTTCTGGACTACAGAATGCCAAGGAGTGACTGGAAGTCACGGATATCAGGGTTAAACAGACTGTGTGTAGTTCGGAGGGTGGGGATATTACACAGGGAAATGACATTCCCTTGATTTTCTTTCAATGCAATATTAGATGTAAATGTCATCTTGTACTTTCTTTTTTTTTTCCTCCTAAAAGCCATTACAATGTTAAAAGAGGAGGAAAAATTCAGGTACAGAATTTATATTTTAAAAGCCTATTTCATGGTGCTTAGTGACTGTTGGTTCTAGAGGTACCAAAACCAGGAAGCCAAAGTTCTCAAACTGCTGC